TTACTTTCCAAAAATATATGGTTAGATGGGGGTAAAATACATTGGCCGGCTTCAAAAATGGCCCAAATAGGACATGCATGCAGGTTGACTAAATGTAAAAATTCCAAGCTGGGAAACTAATATGCGCACCTGCAAAATGTGGCCTTTTAGCCCCCAAACAACCCAACACACCTATACATGGGGGGTATCCCTGCACTTGGGAGATGTTGCTGAACACATATTGGGGTGTTGTTTGGCAGTGACACCTAACAGAATCTGTTAATTTATACCTGAATTGCAATGTATGTTAAAAAATTTTTTTTTAAATAAACTACCTATTGAAAGTTTGGCAAAGGTTTGTGGTAAAATGGCTGCATAGAAAGTATCACAATATTCTTAGATGAATACCCTGGGTTATCTAGTTTAAGAAAAATATATACATGTGGGGTGTTTTTTGGAGATTTATGACAACACAGTGTTACAATGTCACTATTGATACATTTGAAAAATGTACATTTTGAAACAGCAATTTCCTACTTGTACTTATAGTCCTATAACTTGCAAATAAAAGAAAAAAAAAACGTAAACATTGGGTGTTTTTAAACTCAGGACAAAATTTGGAATCTATTTAGCAGTTTGTTTCATTCGATTTTGTAGATCAGTAAAAGATTTTTTAAGTAGAAGTCAAAAAACTTTTTCACCATATTTTATTATTTTTTTAAATTAAATTATATGACATGATAAAAATAATAGTATGTAAATTGTATTTTGTCCTGAAAAAAACAATATATAATTTGTATCGGAAGAGTAAATGAGAGAGCGGAAAATTACAGCTAAACACAAACACCACAAAAGTGTTCCTTAACGTACAAACATCGCAAAAACAGTCCAGCCCTGAAGGGGTTAACATTAAGAAAATGGCTTTTAAAATTGTATTATATTAATTAATTATATTATATATTTTATGCGGTGCCCAAGACAATTACTCTCTGCTCAATGTGGCCTAGGGAAGCCAAAAGGTTGGACACTCATGCTCTATATACCCATAAATCATATACAGCATGCAGAATGTTTAAAAAATAATGAACCGGGTCCTTTGGACCCCATATCAACCAGGGATTGTATCTGGCTCCCTCTTCATTCCAAACTTTTTTATAGTGAAGCATAAGATAAAATAGTGAAATACATGGACTTCCTAGTGCTCACTCATTCTTTAAAGTAAATCTGGCAGTCAAATTCCCTTATTGTGTCAGCGCGGGCATAACAGTTAAGAAACATGCTGAAATAGCAGTTAACAGTCTTAATGTTGCCACAGATAAGAAAGAACACACATACACATTCACAATAAAATTATATAATACTAGTACACAAGTGTTGGTCAAGGGCATCCTGATAAGGAAACTGCTAAATCAGTAAGTAATATTTTTACCCTTAGTAAAGAGGAAAACGCAAGAATTAAAATTAGTATTGAGACTGTGCGTACACAAATCAAATAGAATATGCAGTTTATATAGAATGACACATATAAATATCTTGAAAAGAGCTATTTTCAAAAGAAATATTAATGTAAGAGATACAATATATAGATCCCCCAACTTGCACTACATCATCTGCTAGAGGATACACGAGAGTACGTCTCACACAAACTTTGAGGGATACAGGTAAACATTAGTTTTATATATTGTCTGGAACAATATCTCAGAATGCCCTTGCCTGCAAATTAGAAAAGTACAAAAGAGAGGAACAACAATGCCAGGAATATAAAAGTAAGAAGATAAATTTTAAGTGCTGAGATAGGTGTCATAAAATATACCCTTGTAGAAAGATGTCTACTTTGCCTAGTGGCCAATCCAACCTATTATGGGGACAGGAGGGGCATATTCTATTATAGAAAAAGTCATGATCATGCCTCTTAAATAAGTTTCAGAGTTTAGTATTGGAACACTGAACTCTTGGATCTACACATCATTACTCCTGCTCAGTAATGTTGTCAAATTGTGACACTCTGGGTAAAATCCATCAAAATCTATGGCAGGTCCCCAAATATGCTTATACAAACTGTCACTTTAATTATTTTTACCTGGCTGGTTCTATCATCAATTCATAAAATGAGAGAAAAGACATGCATTATGTCCTCTTCCCATTTATTTATGCATTGATGTGAACCTGGATGTCTGTAAAACAAAGGCAGCTATTACATGCATTGTTTTAAATGTGAATGATGTAAAATATCAAATAGTAATTGCCTAATCTATTCTTTGATATGCATGCTTAGAAGAATACAGACAAAGAGAATTAAATGCACATTATTCCCCTACTCAGAAGTATCTGGCAATTGCTTAGACGGCCACATATCTGTTTATATTTGCAGGAAACTGATAACCCTTATCATGGATAGGCAATGCATATTGTGCTCCTCCGTTAAACTCTACTGCTTCGGGCCACAATGATGCAGTAGAAGAGCACGTTTTTGTCCCAGAGATTTTGTAATTCTACTGCCAAAAATAATGAAATCTAAATGTCTTTTTGAGATGTATCGAGTTTATTATGAAATGTAATTTTGTATTATTTTAAGGCAGCATAAAATCATGAAGTTGAATGAAGGCTGCAGAAAGCCGTAAAAGCTGAAGGATAAATACAGGATAAGTGAGGGTAATGATGAAAGTATCAAAGAGAATGTGCACTGGAGGAGGGGGAACTAAGGACCATGTAAGAATCATACTTATGCGCAAAATAAGAATTTCAGACAGTGGTGGTGTATGAAGATATTTAAAAGAAAATATGAACGTTTAATTTCAACCCTTCACTCTTACCCATTTAAGTAGCAGGGCATGAGGTCGAAGCAGGGGTCATAACTAATTTATAGTTTAGAGGGAAGCCACCACTTGTGGACATCACTTGCTTACAGTTCAGAAGAAACTCTCAATCCAGGGACAGCAAACTGGCAGATTTTGAAACTTTGTAATAAAATCAGTGAACTAAAAATCGCACGTTTCTTTGGAAAGTTTGCAAACATTGAATTTTGAATAGAACAGCAACCCAAGACAGGCTATCTAACCACTCATGTAGAAACCAAAGTACTGCTTTGGATACAGGAACAACTGTATTTTAATATCAACGAAGGAATATTCAAAATATGCATCATATACAGAAAGCAGATGTTTGACACTCAAGCACAATTTTCTTTGGATTGTTGGGAATATTTGGATTGTCTTACTATTATTCTGATCCCTGGGTTCATGGACTTGGTTCTAGACTTTAACTGATTTCTGTTGTCGTTGACATTGCTAATTAGTTTGCTGGCTATTCTCCCTATCTGAAGTCTGATTGTTTCTTGTCTTGCAATAGTCCTTGAGTTGTTTCTGGCCATGCTAAGGATGACTAATTTCTATTTCTGTCTCAATGCTATTATCTGACCTTCTGTACATTGGGTTTTTTCTTGATCTTTGACGTTCTTCAGTGGGTTTCTATGTTTTATCTTCGGAACTCCATCGAAGTTGTCAGGTTTAATCTGGGTTTCCAAAAATGGTAACATGATGTTTGGCAGTGAATCCCTATGAATGCTAAAGTTAGACAACTTAATTACATAGTTTTATGAAACATTATGCTTATAATTAAATATAAACATGCCTAAATATGTTTTTGAACTTGGGGTTTCTTCAGCCAATGTCTTTTTGATTGTATAATTATTCTGTCTTTATTTCCTCAGTAAAAATCTCACAAAATAAACAACACTATACGCACTAAGACCATTTTATCTAATTGAATTGGTATTGGATGCAGTGCTCCTATAGCCTTAAAGGGATACTACAGACATCAAAACAAATTTAGCTTGAATGGACCTTAAAGGCACCAAGACCATTTCATCTCATTGAAGTGATCTTGGTGTGGTGTCACTGTTCCCCTAATTCAGCAATGTAAAACATTACAGTTTTAGAAAAACTGCAATGTTTAAATTGAGGATGTCCAGCGTATAGAAAATCTCCATAGTGAAGCATTGAGCATCTAACATTGGCAGAGGTGGAGTATATGCAAAAATGTTATTTTCTAATCCTTTATTTGCCACCGGGGGAAGTTTGAGGGGGGAGGGGCAGTTTTGTATTCCTAATATTATAGGTATAGGTTTTTTAAAGAAACAGTTTTTGTATACAGATTATGCTCCTGCTGTCTCACTGCTCAATTATGTGCCATTTAGCTGTTGAATCAATTTTGTTATTGTTTATGCAGCTCTAGTCACACCTCCCCTGGCTGTGAGTCAGCCTGCATGAAAAAAAATAGTTTCACTTTTATTAAAATGTTAAAGGCTTATTCCAACCACCATGGTCTCTTTCAGTGATTTGAAGTGATCATGGTGGTAGGAGTCAGTATGTGCAGTATTCCACTTGAAACACTGGATATACTGAGATATTTGGAATTGTGTGCTGCGGGATAGCTGCACCCGTGCATGCACTCTGAGAGGGCGAAATGGCACACAGGCTTCTCTACTTACTATATTTGCACTAATGATGACTGAAGTGCATGATGCTACTAAAAATGGTTATTTCCGGTTGTCATTTATAGCCAATACTTATCTCTTTGATTGGTTTAAATAGAAAGCTTGATTCCAGAAAGAAATAAGATATTTGTTGTTCAATTGCATATGCAGTAGGTAGACAATTCCACATTCAGGTGCAAAAAAGATCTTATAAAACAATTCTATACAAGGTCTCAATGTTACATTTTGTTTTTAATGTTTTAAGCTATGTGACTCTTTAACCCATATCAGTATAAGCACACACACGTATATGCACTACAAGGGGTTACAGACTATATCAGGTCTTTGAAATTTCTTACGTGAACTGGGTGGGTGATGATGACTTTTTTACTCCCTTGTATTTATGTATATGAACCCGTAATACCTAAACAAAAAATGTGTATGTTGTATCTTCCCATTTTAAACTTAAAAAATATTTAGATAAATAAAAATGTATTTTTTTATTGCAGGTGTTTTGGCTAATGTGTTCCGAAATCAAGCGACGAGCATGACAAAGGGACGGAAATGGTGCATATTTGATGGACCAGTGGATGCAGTGTGGGTAGAAAATATGAACACAGTTCTAGACGATAACAAGAAGGTAAATGGAATGAAGTGCATTGATTTTATTTATCTTGAAATGCTATTTGCCCTTGTGTACCTCGTTCAATTTGAGGCCAGTATTATTTCTAACACACAGCTGAATAGCCGGTTAGTGGAAAAATAGCAGAGTTCATCTCAGTTGTTAATGCATTTCTATTTATAACACACCTGTGCAATATTTTTTTTTTACAGTTTAGCATAAATGGGGGTCACTTTCCCAGGGTAAGAGATGTTTAAACATATACTTGAATTCTGTAAGTATATGCTATGGTACAATTATTTTACTTTTCTAAATAGTCATTATATATTGAAAGAAATTTAAGTTTGTTATTTTTTATAAGACAGAAAAAAAAAGTATTTTCCTAGCAGTTGCATATAGATAGCCAGAGAATTGTACGCCTAAAAAAAAAAAAAGGACGGAAATTCACAAGATCGGACCCCAATGGTATCATCTCACTATTAAAAATCACGCTTTAATTTTTAAGATATAATATAACAATAAATTATAAATATGTAAAGAAATCATAATAATGAAAATACACAGCATTCAAATTACTGTAGTTATTGCAAACCACAGCCCTAACCGGAACACTAAATAACAAACTCAACAAAGATCATGTAATCAAACCTACAACAGACCTAATCAAACCCACAACACTATGTTTCTCCTAGTCTGAACCCTACCAGTATGTACCACCTTGACCTAACCTTTAAAATATTTCTAAACTGCTAGCAGCTTACTGGTATGGGGGTTCAATATTCACAGCGATCAGACGATATTTATACCGCCATAAAATGGCAAAAAGGTACTGTTACCGATCAAGAACATAATGGTACGAAATCCACCCAAAAAACTAAGCTGAAGCAGACTAAGTCTGCAAATCTCAGCACTAACCACGCCAAATCCAAGATGGCGCTGGCGATTAGCACTCCCCTGCGTCCTGCTCGGATAAGAGGGACCAGACCTCCATTTCTACAGCCCCTGCTTCAGAATCATCAATTCAGAAGATGCTGTATGAACTACAGGCGAACATGCAAGCTAAATTTGCCAGACTTGCCAGAGATGTTAGGGCAGATGTACAGGTGATCGGGTAATGCACGGCCCAGCAAGAAGACAAAATGGAGGAAATTATTGGGGCCCACAACACCCTGGCGGCAGCGTATGAGCATATGGAGGCTAAGCTGGAGGCACTCACCACCAAAGAAGCTGACCATGAAGACCATGATAAAACCATCTGACATCCAAGATTATGCAGTGGCCCTATTCAAGGCCTTAGCTCCGGAACTCTCTGACAATGAGGTATGCCTCGACCGCATCCACCGCCTGCCACGGCCTAAATTTCTTCCACTATTACTCAATGAAAGAAATAGTAATGCAGGTGGCAAGAAATGCTGAATCGCTCCCAGCACAATTCACAGGGATTAAATTATTTGCTCCAACAACCAAGGCGTTAAGGGAGGCTGAGATACCCTATAAATGGGGATTCCCCACACGCCTTATTGTACGGTGCACCGGAGCAGAGAATATCATTAATAGCCTCGATGAGGAGTTAGTATCATGCAGGAATAAAAACTCCCGGTCAAGCTCCCAGACTGTATCACAGAACAGGCCTTGACTTACTCTGGCTACTCGATGTCCATAAGGCAATACCGGTTATGTGAGATTATCTGTGTTACTGTCAGATACATGAACTTTGTGTTACATGGCCTTTGAATGCCTACAGTTTAGTATAATCAGGGTAACGCTATGGAATATTAGGTTGTAGCAGTGATTGTTTACCCGCAAGGAAACGCACTTTCAAAGGGGTCACATGCCTAAATTTTATTCTAAACAGTTCCCAATCCATTACATGTTATAAGTCTAAAAAGAGCTGTGTTTCAATACTGATTAGCAAGGATGCTTCATTTTATCTGGTTAAACAGATTAAAGGTCAACATGGGAGGTTTTGATACTGCAATGTTATGTCAATAATGTTCCTTCTACCTTGTTTAACATATATGGTCCGCACGACAACCAAAATTAGTTCTTAACAAAAATACTTACCCTAGTATCAACCCACACATTTTGAGAGTTAATTATAGGTAGGGACACTAATTTGATACAGTGTAATACCGGTTTGGCTCATGACTTTTTAGAGATATGGCGGATTCTTCATCTTACCGAGGTGGACTATACATTCCATTCCTATGTCCATAATACCTATAAAAGAATTGACCGTTTACTCATTCACTTCTCAATCTTACCGAAAGTTCCCTCCACCCGCATTGGTCTCATAACCTGGTCAGACTACGCAACCATAACACTCACACTAGAAGAACAACGCCTGAGGAAAGGTACGGGAGCGTGGAGACGAAACGATTTTACCTTATGGGACCCTACAATAGTCTCTCTTATTAGAGAGGATCTACTTTCTTACTTCCAACACAACACTGTTCAGGATTCCTCTAAAGACAATGTCTGGCTGGCACACAAAGCTGTCCTTAGAGGGCTTTTCATAAAACATGCCAGTTTTGCCAAAAAACAAAGAATTGCCTACTACACCACACTGGTCCAAAACCTGGACAAAGCAACACACACTAACAAACGCTCTCCTTCCCCTTCCAAGCAAAATCGCATCACAGACTTGTTGAACTTCAGCAACTCAAATTTGCAAAGACTACGTACATGCTGAGATGTTTCCAACACCAGTTCTTTGTTAATGGCAACAGACCCGGGCCCCTCCAAGCATCCCAACTCAAATCCCGAATCGCCAATTCTAAAATCGCCTATCTACGGGCCAGAATGACCAAATAAATAATTGACCCACAATTAATAGTTGAAGAGTTTGCCAAGTACTAAAGCTTCCTGTACAATCTCAAAGACGACCCCAATACCCATATCCCGACTACAGAAGATATACACACATTCTTAGATACGGTAAGCCTACCTACCCTCTCAGCTGAGGACATAGAACAGCTCTCTAAACCATTTGATCCCTCCAAAATCTCACAAACAATCTGACTATTACAGAAACACAAAGCGCCGGGACCTGACGGGTTCACAAACTGATATTATCAAACATACCAGGATATCCTTACACCACACTTCACCGCGCACTTCAACAACTGCTATCTCTCAGGTTTTCTGCCTGAAGAAATGTTACAGGCCCACATATCCACCTTGCCAAAAACCTGGAAACCCCCTACCCAATGCCAGAATTTTAGGCCAATTTCCCTCCTTAACTGTGACACCAAAATTTATGCAAAGATTCTTTCTAATAGGCTGGCAAATGCACTCCCTAAACTAGTCCACAATGACCAATCAGGGTTTGTAAAGACCAGACAAGCAATGACAACACTTAAAGGTTATACCACCTGTTGCTCACACATTGAGGCTCATACAAAATTAATTTACTGGTGGTATCTCACACTGAACTGCCTACACAAGATATAACCAGGGACACCAAATACCTGTTGGAGGTGCAACACAGACATAGGTAATATGACCCATATATGGTGGACATGCCCGGCAGGCATTGTAGTCTGGGGTTGGGACAGTCTTCAGGGACTTGGCCATGATAGACATTCCTATCAACACTCACCCATGCCTATTCCTTCTATTTCCAGTAAAATATCAAATGCTGCTAAGCAAAGGGTGATAATTATCATCCTCGCAGCTCGTAAACTTATAGTTTGCTCATGGAAACAGTCCATATGCCCCTCGATCCCCCAACTGCTAGTCAAGGTTCAACAATATTTTACTTATGAGAAGATGTCTGCTGACTCAATCACCAAGGTTGGAAAATTGCTAGAAGTTTGGCAGCCTTGGCTGCAATACAAAAAAGGCCATATTCCCACACCCGACTCAGGCGACACTGCACTACCCAAATTACTTTTGAACCTTACAGGCCCCAATCAAGTAACCAAGTTGTCCCACTTGCCACACACTCTGACTAGATCAGAGCTCTAGGATAAGAACTTCATCTCCTTCCTAATGTTACTTCCCAACCCAACATACACAAACACGTATATGGCCCAAAAGTGAATTGTCAATGTTTACATAGTTGTGTATGCTATTGGATTAATGCTGTACTTTACCTGTAGAACATCAGTTAACAGTTTACGTACCGTTGTATATATGACATTCTAAGATTGCATATGCTGTGTACGAACTCGGATGACTTACTTACAGTATGTATCCCCTTTCCAGCCTCCCTTCTTCTTATTTCTGTACCCCTTCCCTCCTCATTGTCTTTTGTCTTTGCTACTCAAAATGCAAATAAACAATTATTATTAAAAAAAATATTTCTAAACTTAAGCTATCTTCTAATGACAAATACTCCACTAAGACTAACTGAAAGCTCTCCTCTAACCGTACCATCAAATAATCACAGTAGCCTAAATAGATATAATCAGAGCTTAAAAATGTCAAGTCATACACTACTAGACAGTCCTAGAAGTTACTTGCCACAAGCATGGCGGGACCATCACACACTCACCAGGGTCAAATGTTTACTTGCCAGGACTGAATTTTCACTTATCAATAGCTAGTGGTTGAGTTGAAGTTTTAAGTCTTGGATATACAGTATAACCTAAGACACAGATACATTTATTAAGATATATACATTTAAATAGTTTCAGATACATTATTATAATTTGTGGATACATTACCACTCCCAATAGTGTCTTAATTTTTCTCATTTGTTACATCTAAATGTAACCACCTTTCACTAAACATGTATATGTCTTTGACGTCTCCAGGGTCTGCAATCATATTCTTTTAATATATATTCTTAATTTAATGTGATAGTCTATACCAGGGCTGTATTTACCACAAGGCAGACCAGGCATTTGCCTAGGGTGGCACTTTCAGGGGGAGCGCCAAAAAATGCCACCCTAAGCTCCCAGACAAATGCCTTGCTTGCCTTGTGTTCTGGGGCTGTCCACCTTACTGTGAGTGAGTGAGTGAGTGTAGCTGTCAGTGTGTGTCTGTGAGTGAGTGAAAGTGTGTGTGTCTTTCAGTGAGAATGGGTGTGCCTGTGAGTGTATGTCAGTGTGTGTATGTCATTTTATGTGTATTGTAGAGTGTGTGCCTGTCAGTGAGTGGGTGTGTCAGTGTGTGTCTGTCAGTGAAAGTGTGTGTTGGTTAAACAGTGTGTGTCTATGACTGCATGTGTGTGCCAATGACTGTGTATCTGTCAGTGCGTGTATATCAGTGCATGTATGAATGAGGGCATGTGTCTGTCAGTCAAAAAAGTGGCCTTGACACGAATTGGGGGGTCAATTTAGATTTTGTGGGTGCCCGAATTTAGTAGTGCCTAGGGCAGCACAAATCCAAAATACACCGCTGGCCTATGCTACATGTCTTTTTTAACATAGTATTTTGTTTTGTCCATTGGTGTAAAGTTATATAAGTTGTCAGTATGCTATGGAGAGCAGAGATGATGGAATGTGAGCCTAGAGCAGGTGTGTAAATAATTATGTAGCATATGCCCGACAAGACACAAGACAGTACTAAGACAAAACTAAACTGTAATAGCTTTAAAGCCCTTACACCATGTTAAAATAAAAATACAAAAAAAACAACAAATATAGGCAGTTTTTAAATGTAAATTTAATGAAACAAAACTCTCAAAGGTGACTGGTTCTTTTTAAGAAATCTTTTTCTCATTAAGGTCATAGCCCTGTGGGTCACTAGAAACGGATGGTTTGTTCTAGGAACTTAAGCAATTTATAGCCTTTGCTACACAAACTTTTTGGTAATTAGGTTGTATCCAGCTCAAGGGACTTTCATTTTCCATATTTCTTGATTACGCTATAATTCCAGATACCTAATTTCTGCAGGTTTTCCACAAACTGTGTTTTGCTTATAGTAGTTAATAGAAATATCTTCAAATTGAAGATGCACTGATTTTCAAATAGATTCATATAAATGCAACTTTGATTGTCACCTATTATTGCGAAAACATTTGGCATTGCATATACAATTCATTTCTCTGAAGATGTACGTCCTTTTAATAAAAATTATGTTATATTCTGCAGCTTTGTCTCATGAGTGGAGAAATAATTCAAATGAGTTTGCAACAAAACGTGATTTTTGAGGTTCTGGATCTTGAGCAGGCATCTCCTGCGACTGTCAGTAGGTAAGATTACATTAATATTTTGTATTTGCTACATTTAACCCTTAGAACTCTAGATTGAATGTCTTGATAATGGTAATTGATGATATGTCCCGACAAAAAAATTTCAACCCAATTGAAAAGCCAATTGTGGCATGGAGACCCATATTACATTAGCAAATCAAGTACAAACCCTAGTTATGGTGGTGATATAGACTGCTCACCTTTTTAGGTAATTCTCTTCCTACTTACTATAAATGTCTTTATAGCTCAGTAGGAATACCTTTCGAACATGGTCAGGGAAGAAACTAAATTCCTTGATTAGGAAGTTTTTAAGTGCATCACTGTGCATAAAAATATTTATTTTTTATTTCTTTCCTACCAGCTATGATGGATGAACTAAACCATTAAACCATATTAGAACATTTGTACCAGTTTAAGTTACAATACTGTATTCCTAAATTTATTGAGTCATATTTTCAGAATTAATTTTTAACCCATATTGTGCTAGTGATGCCAGATGTGTTGTGCATGATCCAAGTCTAGTTCTAGATATACAGACAGCTACATTTTATGCTATCAAGGATGGATGAAATAGAGCTCTCGGGATACAGGAAAAGGATAGGCCTGGATGAAATACAGCTCTCGAGATACAGGAAAAGGATAGGCCATAACCTAATCTAGAGCAGAAACACAAGAATATATAGGTAGGCTGGTATATTACTGGATCTTAGGGAAGATGGGTTAAACGCAGAAGAATTCCAAGAGGTGAAGCACAAACAAAGCAATGTTCAATAGAAGTTTAGAATAAGCCTAGGTCGAGGTACTAGAAAATCACATAATCAAGTAAACAAGCTGTGTCAACAAATACATATCAGGCTTCTACCTATAGAGGAGTACGTTTTAATAGCAAATAGTGATGTCACTAACACCATCTATCTATATGAGAATGGCAACACCTGAAGGTGTGCACTGATGTATGACTGAGGCACCAGGAGGCAAGGGTAGAAGCTGATACAGATGCTCAAGGATTATAAATGACATAGAGGAGCAGCATTCGGCATCAGTCCGGCTAAGCAGCGTTGGTGTTTTACACAGCGCATCAGAACGAACGATCGATATATGTGCTACGTTTGTTGTAACAGCAGCATATTTTTAAAAGCAAATCAACTAAAATATGACAATTATTATATTCGCAAGAGAGTACTGCCCTTGGTTGCTATGCACCCAATAATATACTGAGAATTGCAGACATATGTCAATTGCCCCATAATGTTGGCAATTTAAATTTTTTCTTTAAATCAAACACGGATGTCTTTATTTTAGAAAAAATATGTTTCTGCATGAATTAGTGGAGTGTGACAAGCAATCACTCTGTTGCTTAAACATAAAGGCTACGTAGGTTTTAAAATCGAATTTGCTGGAAAAGGAATATGGGCTTATTACTGACCATGATGACCACTAATGCGAATGAATGGACTTAAATAAAGACAAGGACCATTTGACTACTTATTTATTGCCTGTGGTTTCAACTTATCCCCTGTTGCATCTTACAAGATGCCTTTATTAAATGTTCTCTCTCTTCTGCTTTTCTTACCGAGAGAAAGGAATCTCATCCTACATCTTAATACCGTTATCTGAACAAAATATTCCAATAGATTCCCTTGGGGACAATATGACCTTAAAGAAGATATGAATGTTTTTGCAGCAGAGATAATATGTTCTGCTGTAGTAATATGATGCCATTGCTTTATGTTAAATAGCAGATTTGAACGATATACTATAAACCCTTGAAATGTGTATTCGTTGCTATACTAGATTTATTTTCTGAACAACAAAGCACCTAAGGTCCCATTGAGTGCCTGCACATAATAGTTTTCTGCACTGGTTTATTAACTTGTTATTGCAATTAGGAACCAAGGAGTATACGGAATATTGAAATTTGCAATTATTTTTTTTTTTTCCAAAAACAGTTATTAATATTCATCACGGTAGCTTTCCTCGTGAAATAATTGCTTGCACAAAAATTTAATATAAAATCTGAAACGGCAGAAGGCTGGTAGTGCAACTTAACAGAACAGACAAATAGGAAAAACTACCTTATACTAGGTTGACATGTTTAATAAGACAACCCGTGTAAGCTTCTGGAGAGCAAAAATCATTATATATTGCAGTTTCGTGATAGTTCAGGGGTCCTTACTTCAGTGCTGACATGCTGACCACTGATTGTGAGAGGTCTTTAATCAACAAGCATGGAGGCAGCATTCCACAGAGACCCAGCTCGTTTCAAAACATTTTACTAAACCATCAAATTAAGGCAGTGAGTAAAATAGGAAACAGAAAGTACACCGAAAGGGGTTTTGCTCCAACAAAAGTGCTTCTGTCTGTCTGTCTGTCTGTCTATCTTGGAAGCTGTTGGGAAATAAAAACAAGAACATAGAGACAGAACTGTGATAAATGTTAATATTGATAGGAGAAAGCTGTATCAACGAGTCATGTCTTAATTTTATTTCAAATTGGGCATAGTTGTTCTTATGTCCAGGTGGAGGATGTTTTAGAACTATGCACTCTGGGAAATTAACTCCTCTTTTTATCCTGATTCATATGACAATCATACCTGGTGCAGTTGAAGACCTCGGGTGCTTTAAGCAGACCATAAATAATTATATGTACTGTAGATATTATGGCCTGTGCCCTCCACATCTGCATTCTGCTCCATTTCAGTCTGGAAGGATGCCTTTCATTAAATCCACACACTTCTAGTATCTAAGCCAAATATAAAGGTTTTATTACCAAAGTCATATGGAGTTAAATGAGAGAGATGTTGCAGTCCTGAATGCCCACTCATGCACCTTCTGGTGATGCAAGAATGATGCACAGTCTTTACTTAGTTAATGCCTCCGGCCACCAAGATTCATTTTATTGCTATGGTTATAATAAGTGCATTGTGTTTGCCACTAATTTGTAAGTTACTTAAACATTGTTTTCACCATGGCTGGAATGCAGCGACCTCAGCATTACAATGAATTCAAATAACTGTGCCTTTGTTGTTTAAAGGGACACTAATGGACCCAAAACAACTTTAGCTTAATGAAGCAGTTGCTGTGTATAGATCATGCCCCTTCAGTCTCACTTCTCAATTCTCTGCCAGTTAGGAGTTTAATCACTTTGCTTATACAGCCCTAGTCACACCTCCATATATGTGACTTGAACAGCTTTCCTAAAATCTTCACCTAAAGAGGAATCGAATTGTTCATTTATTGCACATTCTGTTTAATTTAGAATTTCTTATCTCCTACTCTGTTAATAACCTGCTACAGTCTGCTTGCAGTAGTCTCCTATGTGTGATTCAAGTTCACTTTTCAAGAAGTTAACATCTGATTGAAAAGGAGACCATTTTTTTATAAAGACAGTGTGTGTCACAGTCAGGGAAGAAGTGACCTAGGGCTGCATAAATGGAACAAAGGTGGTTTAACTCCTAAATGGCAGATAATTGAGCAGTGAGACTGCAGAGACATTTTCTATACACTAAAATGGCTTAATTTAGCTAAAGTTGTTTTATGTCTGTAGTATCCCTTTAAGGTTATAGTTCTTGATGTACCATGCTATGTATTATATTAGGTTTGCATTGTTATGCTTCACTTTGACACTGATTTATGAATATTACAGTGAAGCTTTCTCGCAGGATCCATAGAAATGAATGTAATATTTTGTAGGGTCTCTCACTGCTTGCAGCTTTAGTAAAACAGTCTTCAGTTATTTTTCAGAGATTTCTCTGAATAGTAACAAAACATTAAAGGGTCAATCCAGGACAATGCTCGTGTACTTAATAGTTAAAGATAACATACCTGATTTTATGTATGTGGCCCAAATGGACAAGGTAAAAAAAAAGAAAAAAAGATAAAACAGGTAAAAAAAAACCTCTCAAATATTTCTGATTTTAAGCATTTGGGCCCTATAATCATCAGAGTCAAATCCAGAACAAATCCAAGCTTGTTCGTAGCCTGGGTTTCAAAATACGGACATTGTTAAGTAGTTTGAACAATGTCTGGCTTTTTCAGTCTGTATGACCTGTACGTTACTTACCGTATATACTCGTGTATAAGTCGATCTCATGTATAAGTCGAGTGCAGTTTTGTGACCAACAATTGTGAAATATGCTATGCCTCGTGGATAAGTCGAGGGTAAAACTTGGGGCTATGAAATTCTGTGATTTTTATAATTATATGCACACACACTCATACAAACACACACTCTGCATTATATATACACACACTCATACAAACACACACTCTGCATTATATATACACACACACACTCATACAAACACACATTCTGCATTATATACACACACACACTCATACAAACACACACTGCATTATATACACACACACTCTGTGTATATAATGCAGAGTGTGTATATAATGAAGAGTGTGTGTTTGTGTAGTGTGTGTGTGAACTGGGTGGGGGGAGGGCATTTTTATTTTAATTTTTTTAATTTTAATATTTTTTGTTTTAATTATTTTAATTTTTTTTGTCCCCCCTCCCTGCTTGTTAACCAGTCAGGGAGGGGGGCTATCTTAATCCCTGGTGGTCCAGTGGCATGGGCTGTGAAGTGGGGGGCCAGCAGGAAGCATTTACTTACCTTTCTTGCAGCTCCTGTTAGCTCCCTTCTCCTCCGTTCCGATCAGCTCCACTGTAAGTCTCGCGGTCTGGTTGCCGCGTGGATTGTTGCCACAGCTCTGGCGGCCGCGGCTCTCTAAGTTGCCATAATACAGACAGTGACTCGAGTATAAGTCGAGTGGGGGTTTTTAAGCACAAAATATGTGCTGAAAAACTAGGCTTATACTTTGTCCCATCCAATACAGATAGTTTAATGAATAACAATGCAAGTCTCTTTTGAGTTGGTTTAATGCTGTTGCAGTATAGTTATTGCATCATACTGTTTGTTTACCAGTTACTTTTTAAGATGACTTATTAGAGTTGAATTTTTTTAAAGAGAACACAACATGTACACACATTGATCCATAAAAAGTTACAAGTGAATGTATGGGGAGTTCACTGTTTTTACCAGCCACTATATGCAATATATACACAAATTTGTTTTTCAGATGTGGAATGATCTACATGGAAGCGAAGGACCTGGGATGGGAGCCATTAATGGAATCATGGCTGATGACTAAACTACCAGCCAAGCTTAGTGTGGAGGAATGCCAAATTGTCCAGGTAGGAAATGTGTGCTCCTCATTATTTGTAGGAATGAAAAAAAAGTGTTTTTGTGCACAATCTTATCAACAATTTCTTGCTTCCTTGTCGCTACGGTCAGCACTTCAGCATGTAATAAATAACCAGTGCTGTTGACAGGACATTTTTTCTTTATTTTGATACCCTTACAGAAGTAATCATGCCTCCTGTCTGGTGTCATCGAGATAAAGACAAATGTTCTGCATTGCCTGACTGTCAATGCATTTCAGACAGAAGACCAAGAAATGCACTATTGCTAGATACACTTGGAATAACATTTGTCTTGTCACGGGTGCAGAGTGAGCAATGCATATACATTTTAAATAAAACTACATATTGGATTTTTTTTATGCAGCTTAATATAGAAGAATGAAGGAAACAATGTTCTATCTATCTATCTATCATTTCTAAGAGCTTAGTTAATTTTAAGCCTCAAATTTATATTTTTGAATAATATTTTCAAATGATTTACTATTGTGAGAAATATTTTAATGTTGTAATATTCTAATATTTTCAAATGATTTACTATTGTGAGAAATATTTTAATTTTGTAATATTCTGAATTTTTTTTATATACGCTTTTGAAATGTTTATTTTTTGAAAAATAATTGTAAAAGTGTATCCAAAAGGATCAAATCATTTGGAAAGCTTATCCAAAAATATTAACTCAATATAATTAGAAGATTACATAGCCCTATATTTCTGTGATTCTGGTCATCATGCATGGTCAATTTCCCATTAGGCAGAACAGGCACCTGCCTACGGGGTCTGTCCTGTAGTGGGTGTCTATGTACAGCCCTTATTATGTGCAGTTTTGGAACTTAGGTGGGCTGGTGAGGAGCCTTGGTCAGTGTCTTCTGCAGGGCTGCAATCAGAAATTTTGGGGCCCCTTACACAGCACAAGGTCTGGGCCCAAGAGCCCACCTCCAAGCCTGCTTAAATGACCTGCCTCCAAGTCCACCCACAGGACCCACCCACAAGGATGCAGTGTGTGTAAAATGGACACAGGGTGTGTGTTGTGGATCCAGTGTGTGTAAAGTGGGTGCATTGTGTGTGTAAAGTGGACAAAGTGTTTGTTAGTGCATGTGTAGTGGAAGCAGTGCATATGTGTATTGGATGCAGAGTGTGTATAGGTGAAACCTGCGAAAAAAAATAATAAAAAATAAATACAGAGGGTGCACTCAAAGGTCTTTTTAAGGTACTCATTGTTTAATGTTTAAACAGTCAAAATTACATAAATGTGCACGACCGACGTTTCAACACTACAGGTCTTTATCAAGATCCTGAAAAAGGGGTCCAGTCGCGTTATTAAAGGGCTGCAGTGCTGACCAGGCTCCTGAAGACATATCCCATTGGGTGGAATGGGCCACCCGATGGGCCCCATCAGCATGCGGGCTTTGGTGCAGCTACACCTGCGGCAGTTTGCCGACTGCACGTCAGGCATGTTGGGCCCACATGACTGGGTCCTCCAGGACCACTGGGCCCATGACAACTGTCATGATTGTCATGCCCTGACGGCATCCCTGGTCCTCTGTAATCTAGTCTGCCTCCTATGCTTGATACTAGAGCTACAGAAACAGTTAGAGGTGTGGTAAATCACAGTGATACGTCAATTCCTTCCTGGTCTGTGTGTGAGAATGTACAGAAAATAGAGGGGATCAATTCCCATCTGTCCATTAACAGCCTCTCACAGGAAATACCTTGCAGGAGGAGCAAGGACAGCACTGAGTGATGTACACTGTATAAAGGTTCCTGCAGTTCTACTATCAATCATACGAAAAGGAGAGTACTTTGTAAATAACTCTTCAAACTGCACATACTGTACCTTAAACACCCTTTTTCTCTATCCCTAAATTGAACCACTCCTAAAACTTAAAAAACCTATTTCCTTATTCCCAAATTGAAGTACTCAAAGCCTAAACCTGAAACAAAACCCATTACATTAATCCTAGGTTTGTCTCCTATTAAAATAAAACACATAATGTACCCCGATAATAAATGTAAACTCACTCTAACCCTAAAACCAATCATTCTAAACACTCCTTATACCAACTACTATAACAACTCTCACGTTTTTAATCTGATTAACACAAAACACCCTATGTCATCTGTAAAGTAAATCTGACATGCACCCCTCTCGAACAATAAAACTCCCCTTCACCCTAATCTCTTTAATATTTTAACCCTGCATCCCTTTACACACTTGCATACACTCACTAAACTCACAGATTCAAACACTATACAATCAAAATAGAAATGTGCACATACATACATATGCAGTTGTCAACTTTGAATTTGTTTTTAAGATTTTTTTTATGCCTGCAACAACCAGTTAATAAATTCAGTGAACTCACTTCATCTGACTTTTGGAGGGGGAAGCAGAGGCACATTTGAATTATGTGCCTACAGGCACTTGACATGTAAATGTGCATTATTTTAACATTCTTTTACATTATTTTTGACCAGAAAAAAATTTCCTCCTTAAGTGCAATGCCAGCTTTTGTTTAAAGCACGTACCCACATGCAAGCTCTTTACCATTACTCTGCCGACAGACAGCCCTAGCTGGTCTCCCAGGAATAATGGCATACCCTCTTACTTTGCATTCTAAGGCAATTATTAAAGATGCGCTAATAACTTTACCATCTTATGAACATAATCCATTTTGACTCTCTAACCATTACACACATTCCAATACTATTTACATTACTTTACACATATTTCCCTTATATACCCCTTGATCACAATTATATATCATACACTATACATAGAAATTACTAATAGAATTCTAATAAAAATTAAAATAATTTAGATAAAATTAAATCTACATTAGTGTTTTGTTCCAGTGGGCTATCTTTGAACAACAAGTAATTTGAAAATATCAGCTGAGAATTTTGGGAAAAAAGAGTGATCGAAAAAGATGATATTGCCTTACTGCAGGATTCCTGCAAGTACCGCCATATCAATAAAAGGAAATGATCGAAAGAGTGCGTATTAGCTAATTTAATATGTTCCCTTATTTGATTTCCAGTCAGTGTTAGTAGAAGCTGATGAAGTGTGCTCTAGAAGTGACCCTGTCAATAAATGTGCAGGAAAGAACCTTACTAAAAATAGAGACTCGTTCAGAAAAAAAACCTGGTTTCTATGGAAAGGCAAATATATTTAATAATGGTGAATATTCCACTTTCCTTAACTGCCATTTATCATATATAAAATACTATATAAAAGAAATATAATAGGGGGGCATGGCCGACCACGGAGCTGAACAATCGCATGTCTGTGGAGCTCTGCATCGGCCCCACAGACTAAGAGCCTTACAGAGCAGAAATCAGCTCCAAAAACACGCAGATTACCTGCCACCCGACAGCCGACAACATGGGGCGCAAACATAGAAAGCAAACTCACACGGAGCGTCCCGCGGCACCCGACATCAGGCTGGCATTTCAGAGGCCTACACAGGCGCGGCCCGCCAAGATGGCGCCGGAACCGCAGAGTGAGTTGGAGACCTCTGACGATTCCCAGGAAGAGAGGGACTCCCAAGCTTCCCTCCCAGGCCCCACTCCCAGGTCTGACTCGGAGGAGGATGACTCCCCATCAACAAAAGGGGACATCAGAAGGCTGCTGACTGACCTAAGGCAGGTCTGGAAGGCCGACTTAAAGGAGACACATGCAGAAATAGGGGTCTTGCAGCAGAGAGTCCAGGAGGTGGAAAACAGAGAAAGCTCAAGAGATCACCAACTCCAAGACACCAAACTGCAACTGGAGGGTCTTACTGGGCAGGTCCGACGCCTACAAGGAGCGGTGGTAACACTTGAAACCAGACACCGCCGACGCAACGTACGCCTCAGAGGTATTCCTGAAACGGTGAGCGGTGAAGAATTACTGCCCTTTGTCCGGAGACTCACCTCCTCCATGGGCCTTGGATGTAAATCAGACACCCCACTGATACTGTCCACCTTCAGGGTGCGCAAATCGCCAGCGGCACCCGCTGGTGCCCCCAGAGACACCATAGCCACCACCAGAGACATAGCGGCGAGAGCTGCAATCATGGCCGGATCCAGATCATTGGGCGCGGTAAAATTTGAGGGATGCGAGGTGGCCATATACAGTGACCTCCCTTTCGCAGTGCTTGCAGCAAGGAGACTACTAGCACCAGTCACTAAGAGACTGAGAGACCATTCGATCCGGTACCGATGGGGCGCAGAGGGATCGCTAACGGTACAAAAGGGCGCCGATACACTCACCCTGACCTCGGGAGACGACCCAGAGACATTCCTCAAAAAACTAGGCATATTAGCCAATGGACACAGAAAGCAACATGAGAAACGCAACACTTAACTATAATAATAATGATGGTTTATTTTAATTTTTATTGTATGCATATAAGCCAATGAGGAAAGCTTCTCCCTATTCTTGCTACCCCTAACCCAACACTCCATGCTATTAACCTATAGCCCTAGATACCTGACCCCACGTATATATATGGGATATACAGATTGAGCCGGAAGATTGTTGAAATCTAGCAACCTCGAATATTAAGCAACCTCTTTAAGTAGAGATCTCCGTCGAAGAGTAGAAATGTACAAATTGTTCCCCCACCATGCCGCAGCAAGGGCCTCTCTGACATTGTGAATGTTACTCTGCTTGTAGCCCAACGAAATGTTATTTGATCCTGTTCTACCCTATATAATAACACATATAATGGAAAATTGTATACTGTGTGTACAAAACCTAATAAAATACAAATTTAAATAAAAGAAATATAATAACCCCTTTTGCAAATAAGAAGATTTTTTTTTTACAATAGCATTATAATTAAAAGTCAGGAATATGTTCGTAAATAATAACTTCTGTACAAATGTAAAATTTATTTTATTTTACGCAAACTATTTAACTATTTAACTATTCCGTACAAAGTGATTTGTAATAAATTGAAAAACAACTCGACAACATTCAGGCAAAAAAATGGCCAAGCTGTGATTATGTGGTTAAATATTTTTTATTTATTTTTTTACAGATCAGCTATTTAAGCTTTTAGTTTTTTTTAGTTTGGAGTTTCTGTTCATTACAATGCTCATTTTAGAAAAAAAAAATTGCTTATACGGCAAAATTCTCCAATTCAGCTTTTTTCCCTAAATTTTGCCATCCAGAATGCAATCCACTACAATTAGTAGTTTATCAATTTTTTTCTCTCCTATTCACTACAAATTGTTAAGGAAACTTAAATTAATCTGATTGTAAAATTATTAGAATAACTGATTTACTTTCACTGTAGGTGAAAGTTTAGGATCCAGTGATCATGAGTCAGTGTGGTTTAATATAAGAACAGTGACTGAGTCACACCACACAAAAACAAAAGTTTTAGACTTTAGAAAAACAGACTTTTCTAAAATTAGAATATGGGTAGAGGAGTCATTATCAGACTGGAGCAATTTAAATGGAGTCCAAGAGAAATGGGATTATTTAAAAGTTGCACTATTGAAGGCAACAGAAAATTGCATTAGGCTTGTCAGTAAAAGCAAAAAATTCAAGAAACCACTGTGGTACTCCGCAGATGTGGCCAAAATAGTTAAAAACAAAAAGTTAGCATTTAGGAATTATAAAAAAACCCAGAGTGAGGGAGACAAAATGATCTATAAGATTAGGCAGAAAGAGGCTAAGCAAGTTATAAGAGCTTCCAAATCACACACAGAAGAGAAAATAGCACAGTCAGTAAAAAAGGGGGATAAAACATTTTTTAGATACATAAATGAGAAAAGAAAAGTAAAACAAGGATTAGTTAGATTAAAAACAAAAGAAGGAAGGTATGTAGAAGAGGATAAAGGTCTAGCTGACTGCCTCAATGAATATTTTTGTTCTGTATTTACAGATGAAAATGAAGGAAAGGGACCTCAGTTGAGAAAAAGGATAAATGAGTCATTTATTACACGTGAGTTTACAGAGGAAGAGGTTCTATTTCAACTGTCAAAAGTAAAGACAAATAAGTCAATGGGACCTGATGGAATACACCCAAAGCTATTAAAAGAGCTTAGTGGTGTACTAGCAAAACCATTAACAGATTTATTTAACCAATCATTGTTAACAGGTGTAGTCCCAGAAGATTGGAAGTTAGCGAATGTTGTGCCCATTTACAAGAAAGGTAATAGGGAGGAGTCGGGCAACTATAGGCCAGTAAGCCTTACTTCAGTAGTGGGGAAAGTGATGGAAACCATGTTAAAGGATAGGATTGATGAACATCTAAAAACACATGGATTTCAAGATCAGAGACAACATGGGTTTACTTCAGGGAGATCATGCCAAACTAATCTTATTGATTTTTTGATTGGGTAACTAAAATTATAGATCAGGGTGGTGCAGTAGACATTGCTTACCTAGATTTCAGTAAGGCTTTGACACTGTTGTACATAGAAGGCTTATCAATAAACTGCAATCTTTAAGTTTGGATTCCAATATTGTTGAATGGGTAAGGCAGTGGCTGAGTGACAGGCAACAGAGGGTTGTAGTTAATGGAATATATTCAAAGCTTGGACTTGTCACCAGTGGGGTACCTCAGGGATCTGTACTTGGACCCATTCTCTTTAATATTTTTATTAGTGATATTGCAGAAGGTCTTGATGGTAAGGTATGTCTTTTTGCTGATGATACTAAGATATGTAACAGGGTTGATGTTCCAGGAGGGATAAGCCAAATGGCAAATGATTTAGGTAAACTAGAAAAATGGTCAGAATTGTGGCAACTGACATTTAATGTGGATAAGTGCAAGATAATGCATCTTGGACGTAAAAACCCAAGGGCAGAGTACAGAATATTTGATAGAGTCCTAACCTCAACATCTGAGGAAAGGGATTTAGGGGTGATTATTTCTGATGACTTAAAGGTAGGCAGACAATGTAATAGAGCAGCAGGAAATGCTAGCAGAATGCTTGGTTGTATAGGGAGAGGTATTAGCAGTAGAAAGAGGGAAGTGCTCATGCCATTATACAGAACACTGGTGAGACCTCACTTGGAGTATTGTACACAGTATTGGAGACCGTATCTTCAGAAGGATATTGATACCTTAGAGAGGGTTCAGAGAAGGGCTACTAAACTGGTTCATGGATTGCGGGATAAAACTTACCAGGAAAAGTTAAAGGATCTTAACATGTATAGCTTGGAGGAAAGACGAGACAGGGGGGATATGATAGAAACATTTAAATATATAAAGGGAATCAACACAGTAAAGGAGGAGACTATATTTAAAAGAAGAAAAACTACCACAACAAGAGGACATAGTCTTAAATTAGAGGGACAAAGGTTTAAAAATAATATCAGGAAGTATTACTTTACTGAGAGGGTAGTGGATGCATGGAATAGCCTTCCAGCTGAAGTGGTAGAGGTTAACACAGTAAAGGAGTTTAAGCATGCATGGGATAGGCATAAGGCTATCCTAACCATAAGATAAGGCTAGGGACTAATGAAAGTTTTTAGAAAATTGGGCAGACTAGATGGGCCGAATGGTTCTTATCTGCCGTCACATTCTATGTTTCTATGTTTAGAGCTACACATATATCATGTTTTGATCTAAATGTAGTAAAAAGTGTTTTTTCATTTGGAGAACACAATGGCAAAAGCACTTCTCACATTTGTAATTTTTTGCTGAAATACATAATAAATTGCTTTATATTTTTTTTTAATGGCTGGCATACATTATAAGTAAGTTCCATAAAATAAATCATATTTCATTAAAATGTTTAAATTGCCCTATGTAATTCAATTTCCTAGTGTACTGTAAATTTATATTAGTAAGAGATATATTATCCAGTGTACTCTTTTCACTAGAGATGAGAAAAACTCCTTCACTTTGTGGCACAATCTGTTTTAACAGGTTATTTTTTATATTTTTTCTTTTTTGATATTTTTTTTCAAAAACTGCTCTTTTGCTCTTCATTTTCAAAGCTGGTTCTAACATTTAAACTCATTGCTTAGTAATTATATCCCAGGTATATGTTTCCCCAATTATATAAGAAGGGGTGTATAAAGTAGAAAAAAATAATAATTTAATTTAAACCAATAAAAGAGATTGTAGAGATGAACAGTGGAATCAAAATAGGTATTCCATATTATGTTTTGCCTAATAAAAGGGAAATATAATCAAGTTAGTGTAATCCATGAGAGGTACCTGTACTTAAGAAATATCATTAGTATTGTTGTTGGACTAGAAATGGCAAAATTGGCATCCCCCATAAAAGTATCCTAAAGGATTATGATATATATTTTATTACACATAATATTCAACTCTTTACCTCCTTAAGAGACTCAATACTGTGGCCAGAGCCATAGCTGGACACATTTGTGTTTGACTTATTGTGATAGGGCCGTCACTAGACTGATTGCAGACAAGTAGTCTAGTGTTGCCTTCTACTGTCCTCCTTCCTTACGCTTCTCCCCTCCCCCCCCCCACTCTGGTACATAAAGGGTTAAAAAAAACACTTTCTGTACCCACCGGATCCCAGTGCCAATCTTCTTCTGTGCTGGGTCAATGCTCCACCTTCTCTGATGTCATTCGACAGGGGGGGGGCTAATGTGCATGTGCGGCGAGCACTGTGAGAGCATTAGGCCCTCCTTATAGGAAAGCATTGACTTAATGCTTTCCTCTGGGGATTTCACTGATGCTGGTTAGGTGACCTGCAATCTGGTAAACAGCCTCAGTACTGCAATATAAAACTGCAATGCTTTGTATTGAATGACTAAGGGCAATAGGAAACTTTACCCAGATCACTTCAATGAGCTGAAGTGATCTGGGTGCCTAGTGTTCCTTTATGCATATATTACGATTAAGGCCTCACGTCCAAAATGTTGTATCTTTATGATACTACACTGTGCAGCCTTGTCAGTAAACTGATTGCAGCAGCACTATGGTTCCTATCAGCTTGTTCAGCTTTTCCATACATCAAAAGTAGACATAATCAAATTCCACAGGTTTTTCATGGATCCAAATGTTTCTAAAAATGCTATACACAGAAATAAGCTGGATATGTACTTGAGAAAATACAGCTTGACGCTTGAATTAAATGAGTTAGCTGTTATTACTAATTATTCAATTAAGAGATTCATTTTGGAGAATGAATTTGGGCAGGCTGGTCAAATTCCCAAACTCTGAGCCGAAATGTCACCAATTCACGAACGAACCAAAATGTGCAATGTCAAGTTTGTCCATTTTGGTTAATGATGCTGAATTCAGCCTGTGGCAACAAAATATAGAGATGATTATGTATATATTTTGCTGTACACCGATTGCCCTTTTTCAACGCCTTTTGGTTTTTCTAATTCGTACACAAGCTAGTTTTTCAGCACCTAAATTCTGCCAAGCCAAACTTTCATTCAACTCAAATTTGGGCATCATCAAAAAAACGTACAAGGCTACTAATTCTACATGATCAGAACTAAACTCAGTATATATCCATCAAATAGAGTACGTTTCTAAAGACAAAGACGATTCTTCCACTGTGGGAATCCTTCTCTCTACACTACTAGAAGATGGTCATAGAGCTGGACCACCTTTGCATCTTGTATAACTTATATAGCTATACAACTGTCTAAAGAGGGGTATTTCAAAAATAACAAAAGAACAGATGTTACAAACATTTTTTCACATGGACAGTTTCTGAAAATTAATAGCAAATGTCATGTTTTAGTCCAAAATAGCAAATTGAATCTTCCAACTCTATCAATAATTCAACAATTTTGGAAAATTCCTGCTGAGTTCAATATACACAGGGTTATTTATTAAAGTGAGAATTCAAAGTGAATTTCAAATTCAAGGCCAGAGTACCTGAACTGAAAGCATAGCATGATTTTTATTCGGTTCACCTATTTTGACCTTAAATTTGAGATTCACTTTGAATTCTCACTTTAGTGAATAACTAATAACTAACCACTTTTTAAATAAAAAAATAAAAAAACAAAGCTCTTCAAACCTTTGCATTTTGCACTTTGCATGTTTGGTTTACTGTCATGAGTAAAAATTATTTAATTAGTTCTGCAATTATTTTAAAATGATCAGTTCTATTATTCAAGAAGTGCATGTGTACGTGTACGTGTGAACAAAACACTTAAAAATTTGGTATATGATCAGCTATTTTTTTCAACCTGCATTCTCCACCTCCAGCTGATAACCCAGATTTTTGAATCCTTGCCTACTAACTTGTTGTACGTTACACGCTATACAGATGGAATTCTGTATAATTGTTTTAAAAGAAGTTGCCATATGGTCCAAAACACAGAAGATTATTATATTAACACTGGCTCTAATATGTTTCACCATGCTGTTATTTTATCTAAACTTGTCTTGATGTATCATTCAATATATGAATAATTGCAGGCGCTGTAACTGATGATACCAATTTTAACATATGGTGTTGCTAAATTTGGTGTTTTTTCTTTTAATTTGTAATGAAATGGCCTTCTGAAGTGTTAGCTTATTAATGATGAAATAAAAATGCAGTCTATGGAATTATTGGGACTGCATTGCATGCCTTAGGTGATATTATATATATATATATATATATATATATATATTGCTGTATGCTGGTTATGGTAAATTTCAAATATACAAACCTAATAGTCTTCTAATAATCAGTATTGTTTTATTCTTAATATACCCTCCAAATCATATATGGATAGGAACATTGTTCCCATGAGTTTACATTAATTTCAAAGTTGTTATAGTTTTATTTTTGAAATTATTATTGTCTTTTATTTCCGAGTGGAAATAATACTTTTTTTATGCAGTTTTGAAATTGTAATATAATTGTTAATGCAAATAAGAACATTTACACTGTTAATTTCTCGAAAAGGTTCTCGGAAAATATAATTGTATCTGTTATAAAAATGGTAACAAATAAACATGTTTGTGTGAAACTGAGACTAGAATAATATTGCCGAGGTTCACCTTCATTATCTATCTATTTCAACTTATTTTTAGACTCGGTTTTTAGTCAATATGTGCTAATGAACAAATTGAAATGTTGCAACCATGGTACAATGCGTATTGAAATATAATTTTTATTAGCTATTTAGGTAGAGTGAATATGATTTGGTCTATACAAACAGTTCTAATATGATAATTTAAGAGATATATTTATGTCAATATAAGCATGTATTTTTGCTATTACTTTTATTATGTTACAGTTAATAGGGTCCTTTCACATATTTTAAATGAAACTTGGTTGAAAGTCTCCAGACGAGGTTGGTTCAAGATGTGTTTATTATTATTATTATTTTATTATTTATATAGCGCCAACAAATTGCGTAGCGCTGTACAATGGGTGGACTAACAGACACATAATTGAGATCAGACCACTGGACGTACAAGAACAGAGGGGGTTGAGGGCCCTGCTCGATGAGCTTACATGCTAGAGGGAGTGGGGTATAGTGACACAAAGGGTTAAAGTAGGGGAATTAAATAGTTTGTTAGATAAGGGTTTATTGAGTGCTTGGTAGGTCATTTTTGACAGTTGCAGGAAAGGAGTCATGGGGTGGGGGATGAGAAACCTGCTGACAGTTTAATTGATACGCTTTAATGAAGAAGTAAGTTTTTAAAGATTTTTTGAAGGAGTGGAGGCTGGGTGAAAGTCTGATTGAGGAGGGAATGGAGTTCCACAGAATAGGTGCAGCCATTGAGAAGTCTTGAAGGCGAGAATCAGAGGTGGGAATCCGGGCAGAGGATAGGCGTAGGTCTTGGGCTGAGCGCAGGGGTCTCGATGGGATATACTTGTGTATGAGGGAGGATAGGTATGTTGGAGCAGCATTATGTAGGGATTTGTAAGCAAGCGCCAGAATTTTGAATTGGGCCCTATATCTAACTGGAAGCCAATGCAGGGACTGACAGAGCGTGGAGGCGTGGGAGGTGCGACCGGACAGGAAAATAAGCCTTGCAGCCGCATTCATTATATATTGCAGCGGTGCAAGCTGGGAACATGTAAGACCGGTGAGAAGGGGATTGCAATAGTCAAGGCGAGAGAGAACAACAGCATGAACCAGTACCTTAGATATGGGTGTTATAAACCCAACTTATAAATATACTATTCATACTAGGTTAAGTATGGGATAAAATGCAGACTCATTTCAATGTTAGTTAAAAACATTTTCAATCAACCTTTAAAAATGTTTTGAAATCATGGGGAGTGTGCTTAAAATAACATACTATAAGTATGTAATATATCTACTGCCATCTCTCATTCGCATTGGGATATGAATAAGTACTGGGATGAAGATTTGACACTTAATATATGTGTGGAGTCTGCTGGACCCAAGAGTAATAAAAGAAGACCTGTAAAAGAGGCCCCATAATCAATTTTGCACCAAATTTCGCTGCCTAGGTGTTTTCTTTGACTCCGTCTTCTCCTTCACGCCTCATGTTCAGTCTATCGCCAAATGCTGCCACTTCCATCTCAAAAACATTGCATGCATCCGACCCTACTTAATGCCAGATGCGACTACGGTGCTGGTCCATTCCACTGTCCTTTCTCACCTGGTCTTACGTGCTCCCAACTTGCACCGTTACAGTCCATAATGAATGCAGTGGCAAGTATCATCTTCCTGTCCGCCCGCTCCGCCCACGCCTCACCCTTCTGTCAGTCCCTACATTGGCTTCCTGTAAGATATAGGGCTCAATTTAAAATTCTGGTTCTTGCTTTCAAATCTCTACATAATGTTGCTCCCACCTATCTATCCTCCCTAACACACAAGTATGTCCCGTCTATGCATGCCCTTACGCTCTGCTGAAGACTTACGGCTCTCTTATATCCGTACTCCCACCTCTGATACTCGCCTTCAAAACTTCTCGAGGGCTGCACCATTCCTGTGGAACTCACTTCCCACCTCCGTTAGATGCTCACTGTAACGGATCGCCTGGCACCCCGACTGGGTACCTCCGTTAAAGAATGCTCCTAGCGCTTCCTGAGGACTCCAAGCACTGCAGCAGACACCACAACCACCGAACCGGAGAAGCATATGAATCCTCTCAAGTATATGAATGCTGTAGACAGTTGAATAGGAACCATACGAATAGGTTTACTCTCCTAGCAGTCAAACTGGAACAGCATACAATGAATCCTTCCCCCAATAATGAGACGACACTTCACTTTGAGGGTTAAGCAGGAACTCAGGTGCTGGCACACGCAGCCTGGTTTTTATTACAGTCTTGCAAATACAGGACCGCCCACAGGGAGGTATAAAACAACCAATCACATCACAGTTACATCCCACATATTCCCTCCCCTTATCCTGAGAGGAAACTCAATTACACATACAGTTAAAAACATACTTTCTACCCAACTTTCATAACTCTAAAACCATACATCACATTCACATAAAATTACATATTCACAATCAATCCATTCAGGGGAACAACATATTAAAAAATGGCACAAATCAGACAAGGGGTTCAAAAGTTAGGGAAAGTCCTTTGTGACTAAATGAAGCATGGCTTTCTGGCCAAAACCAGTTTCAGAGTCTTCTATCCTGGAGAGTAATTCAATTATCTCCCAGGATAGACACAAGACTCCATTAAGCACATGGTTGCAAAAAGACACAAAACACTTTAAAATACATAAAGTCACATTTACACATAACACACAGACATTTCACATATCCCCAGATAGCTGGGACCTGAGTGCACATTATTAGATGAATGGCACTCAGATCACACAAATAAGCCTTTCTGCAGGGGAAATAAACGGTTTAACCTGCAGGGCCATAGTCCAAAGGGAGCAGGCGAGCAACCAGGCTTCTCCAGGTCACAGTGGCGAGGTTGATTTCGCCACACTTCTCCCCTTTACCAACTAGACTAACAGGGTATCTGACCTCCTGCCGGTCAGTGCCCTGGTTAGTCCAGCAACCCACCCACAAAACAGAAACAGCAGTACAGCCCACCCACAATAACTGGTTACTACACCTGGGTAGAGGAGAACTTTGTCCATGTCCAGGTGCCTCACCACGACTTTGTGGGCAACTGTTAGGCTGCCTTGGTGGGTTGCTGAGTGGGCAGAGACCAGCGGTACTCTGCCCTGATGCCAGTGCTACCACGGAAGTAGCCTGGTGGGAGCCTGGTTGTGGGAGGGAGAGATCGACTGTCTCCCCTCTGGATACACCGCTCTGTGGCTGGGGAACAGGACCGACTGTCCCTACCCCTTGTGCTGTAAGTGCAGAGACTACAGTTCCATCTGCACTGTTGGGGGGTGTAACATCTCCCCTTGCTGGGTTAAGCTGCCGCTGGAGAGAGGGTGTAACAAGCTCCTCTCTCTGAACTGTAAACTGCCGCTGGGGAGAGGGGGTATCAGGCTCCTCTCCCTGACACTCTCTCTGCTGGTGGAGAGGGGGACCAGCTGTCTCCCCTTTCATTATTTTGTCCTGTGGTTGGGGTGCGAGACTGACGGTCTCTGCTCCCTGCAGGACACTCTGCCGCTGGGGAGGAAGGATTGCACCTTCAGCTCCCTGGGGTACACACTGCAGCTGGGGAGGAAGGACTGCACCTTCAGCTCCCTGGGGTACACACTGCCGCTGGGGAGGAAGGACTGCACCTTCAGCTCCCTGGGATACATACTGCCGCTGGAGATCTGGGCCGACCGCCCAGCATCCCTGTAGGGCCGGTAGAGAGACCGCCGTCCCATCTCCACCTGCCATCTGTAGGTCTTCCCAGGACCAGTCTGTGAGGTCCCTCAACATTTGCGAGTAAGGACCACCTGCTTCCGCACCTGGCAACTCCGGCTGCTGCTGGGGATCTGGGCTGGTCCCATCTCCACCTGCCTGTTGTGGTTCCTCACAGGACCAGTCTATGAGGACCCCTACTTCGGGTTCCTGCGGCCGCCTCAGGGGGAGACGGCTAGCCTCCTCGGATGCAGCCTCTGCTCGGCTGCTGTAACACTCCTTCCGCTGAGCATACTCTCTCTCTTTCGCCAGCCGGAATTCTCGGGCCAGCCTTGTGTTTCGCTCGGCCGTGACCTGGTTCCAGATCACCCAGCGTACCTCCATGGGTAAATCATCCCCATACTGGGCCACTCGCTGCCTCACCTCGGCCATCCAATCATCGCCAGAGCCTTCCATACTTGTCTGCTCCAAGTCGCTGGATACCTCTGCTCCCAGGGTCACTGCACGTGTGCTAGCGTTGCCCTCAATTTGTAACTCCACGAACGGTGTCTCTGAGCTGCTGTACCTCGCACTAGGACGCCATCCCACCGCTTGCCACCAATGTAACGGATCGCCTGGCACCCCGACTGGGTACCTCCGTTAAAGAATGCTCCTAGCGCTTCCTGAGGACTCCAAGCACTGCAGCAGACACCACAACCACCGAACCGGAGAAGCATATGAATCCTCTCAAGCATATGAATGCTGTAGACAGTTGAATAGGAACCATACGAATAGGTTTACTCTCCTAGCAGTCAAACTGGAACAGCATACAATAAATCCTTCCCCCAATAATGAGACAACACTTCACTTTGAGGGTTAAGCAGGAACTCAGGTGCTGGCACACCCAGCCTGGTTTTTATTACAGTCTTGCAAATACAGGACCGCCCACAGGGAGGTATAAAACAACCAATCACATCACAGTTACATCCCACATATTCCCTCCCCTTATCCTGAGAGGAAACTCAATTATACATACAGTTAAAACATACTTTCTACCCAACTTTCATAACTCTAAAACCATACATCACATTCACATAAAATTACATATTCACAATCAATCCATTCAGGGGAACAACATATTAAAAAATGGCACAAATCAGACAAGGGGTTCAAAAGTTAGTAAAAAGTCCTTTGTGACTAAATGAAGCATGGCTTTCTGGCCCAAACCAGTTTCAGAGTCTTCTATCCTGGAGAGTAATTCAATTATCTCCCAGGACAGACACAAGACTCCATTAAGCACATGGTTGCAAAAAGACACAAAACACTTTAAAATACATAAAGTCACATTTACACATAACACACAGACATTTCACATATCCCCAGATAGCTGGGATCTGAGTGCACATTATTAGATGAATGGCACTCAGATCACACAAATAAGCCTTTCTGCAGGGGAAATAAACGGTTTAACCTGCAGGGCCATAGTCCAAAGGGAGCAGGCGAGCAACCAGGCTTCTCCAGTTCACAGTGGCGAGGTTGGTTTCGCCACACTCACCTAGTCTCCACTCCTTCAAAAATCATTAAAAACCCACATCTCCATAAAAGCGTATCAATTAAACTATTAACAGCTCCTGACTGATTCCTCTCTTGCAACTGTCACTAGTCTAATACTATCCTTACCTTTTGTGTCACTTTACCTCACTCCCTCTAGCATATAAGCTCATTGAGCAGGGCCCTCAACCCCTCTGTTCCTGTGTGTCCAGCTTGTCTTGTTACAACTACATGTTTGTTCGTCCACCCGCTGTAAGGCGCTGAATAATTTGTTGGAGCTATATAAATAATAACATAATAATAATAATAATAAGTTTCCAAAAATTTCAAATATATCAAAATATTCAAATATTTTGTATAACTGATAATTTTAAAAGCATATCCAAAAATATTAAATCATTTAAAAAGTGTGTCAACAAATATTAAATTGGGGCTCTAATTAGAGACCCTGTTGTCAGTGTTATGTAAATAAAGAGCCATTCACTTATGTAGCAATGAGTCAATGTGGACAACGCTGGCAGACTACATATTTCACACTGAAGCATAGACATAACTTAAACATTTCAATTTGGTTGTCCGTCCTCCTCATCTCAGTAGTGGTTGTTGAATAAGCCTAGATGTTTAAATAAGCCTTATCTTTGTTCACCAGTCAATAAGTTGCAGTACCACAGCAAAATCCTCACATTTACACATGACCACACTTACTTGTTATTACCGCTATAATCAATATGAATATTATTCAACATCTAGAAAAATCTTCATTTTATTGCTACTATGTTTTTTTTTTCTCTGCAGACAATGTGCAGATGGCTACTCTCTGCAAGTTTGGACTTTGTTGAAAAGAAATGTAAATTTGTGATTCAGACATCTCCACTGCATCTGACCATGTCTGCACTAAAGCTCTATGAATGTTTGCTGTCAAACATGAGGTAAGAAAGCAAGAAATCCAGTCGATAAACTCTAGAAATGTATTCATGAAGAAACATATAATGTTTACATTATATTGATTAACATAGATTTTATAGGAAATAGAAAAAAATATGTAATTATTGTGTGATAAAAAAAAGGTACTTAGACAATTCCCAGAAACAATGTTGTAACAATGTAAGAAGGGGGTAGTATAGCAACAGACTAGTATAAACACATATCGACAACTAAAACTATTTAAGATGTTGTTTTAATATGCTTTTATAGAATGGGGTTAATTTAGGAGGAGTCATGAGTCTTTCCTGCTGATACTACATTTTCAGTGAAATTCACTAAATTGAGAATCCAAAATGAATTCAAAGTTATTTTTAATTTTAAGGCCAAGGCAGCTGAACTGCAAGCTGACTTAGAGAATATTTATGGTTCAGTTATATTCACCTGAAAGGAACACTCTAGTGTCAGGAATGACAAGTATTTCTGATACTAAAGTGGTAAAAACACTGTTTAGGATCCTGGTCCCCCTTGACCCATTTAAAAATATATTTAATTTACGTTTTTGCCAGCATCTGCTGGTTTCGCTGTGGCTGGCCCAGAGTGTGGGTATGTGTCAGTGTGTGTATCTGTGTGTCAGTGTGTAAGTGTGCGTATATGTGTGTCAGGGAGTGTGTATGTATCAGTGTGTGTACCTGTGTGTCAGGGTGTGTGTGTATATATATGTGTGTTTGTGTTCATGTGAATGTATATATGTGTATGGTTGTATGGGTATGCATGTATGGGTATATGCCACATCCCAGCAATCAAACACCAATAATATATGCAAACACACCCCTACAATCAAACACAAACATTACATGCAAACACACCCCTGCATTCAAACACCAAAAATGTATAGAAATATAACCTTTTATTCAAACACCAATGCCACACACAAATGTACATCCACATTTAAAATTCAACACTAAATACAAACACATCCCTGCATGCAAACAAATCCATGTACTAAACTGCTAAAATTATATACAAACACCCCTTCATTCAAACATCAACACTACACAAAACATCACTTGCATTTAAAGGTCAACACTACATACAAAGACACCCCTAAATTTTAACGCAAACACTACACACTATTATACCACTGCATTTCAATGACAACAGTTCATACACCTATTGCTCTGCATCCACACACATACTCCATACTCCATACTCCATACATACTACATGCTTACATGTTTACAGCCCTGCAGGGATGGGCAAATGGTACAACCCCAGCTGGCATAGCAATTTGGGGGTTGTACAGCAAATGGTGACCTACTTTTTGGCCACCTTTGCACTAGAAGGTGGCCAAAAAAAACAGACAGGGATATTGAGATGAAGAGGTTTGGGTGTCTGTAGATTCACAATTAAGGGACATCTGTGGGCAGATACAAAATAAAGACATGTTTTGTACTAATGTAAGCTCACCTGCCAAAGTCTAAGCTAACCTCTTCAGTGAAGAGAATTTACCTTGCTACTTTCAGCCAAAATACAGAATCTCTAAAGAGACAGAAAAAAGATATTCTTAAGGATGCCCTCAAACAAATTACATTTTATCAGGGCACAAATAGGGAAAATAATTCCAAAGACAATGCAATACTCAAAAATATTGTTATTTTATATAATTATACAATTATAGTTCTAAAAAAATATGCTTCTCCCGATGTACCCACTGTAAGGAGTGATATGAAACATATATTATACAAGGCAGAATTTCATGTAGGCACCTGCAAAGCTTCAATTTTTTAGGTGAGTGCTAAATTGCAAAAATGCAGCTTAGCTAAAGGTCTTCCCAATTTCACATAAAAACCCACATATATTTGATATAATTTTACCCATCTGGTGCCACATGCTGCTTGTTTTAGTACATTCCCCAGCTATTTTTACTAAAAGATTAAATAAATACACAAATTCAGTGTACACATGGGTGGAGGCTACTGGTGTGTGCAGATGTTCAGAAAAATAAAATTACTCATTCCTAATTTTTAGCCATTTCTCATCCACAAATCTTTTTATTTAAAATTAAAGGGAAGCCGGCATTGCTTGCGTACAGGGGCTTTTTGGATGTAAATTCAGCCCTAGGTGCAACACATAATTTTGAATCCCAGTCAATCACCTGCATTCGATCTTACCAAACCTCAAATTCCAAAATGCGTTTCGCAGTTGTTTTGTCTGAAATAAAAAAAAGTTAAACATTGTTTGTTGCAGGTTATTAAAAAGTATTTCATACCGAGCCTGTTTTTTATTTTTCTCAAAGGGTCGACCACAAATAATGTGAAGCTAATTATGTGCTCGTGGCATCCACATGCCATACATTTAGCTATTCTTGCTTGTGCGGAACATTTATTGACCTGCATTATTGGAAGAGTACAAATGTTTCTCATATTTTATCACATTATGTAGGTTAATAAAACTTTTATCTGTTTAGTTCTGCAGAGACTGGGACTGATAATGAGGATGAAGCTATTGATATTTCAGAAGAGACAAATGTGCAAAGTTATCACATTGTTAGTAAAAGAATGAAGGAAGAGGTTATAAATGAAATTGTGGCTCATGGTTTCTTTTCTGTCATCTGGTCAGTTGGTGGAGTTCTCACCGCAGAGTCCAAACAAAGGTGAGCAATTAATATTATTAAAAATGATATAACAAGCCTCTCTTTATAGATCTGTGTTTCATACATTAGATTTTACAGTGATATTAAACTAATTATTATATAGAATTATAACCTCTGATGTTTTGAGAACCAAATGATCACTTTTTGTAATTTTTGAGATTATCCACATGTAATCACCACTGGTTTTCGGGTAGATCTAGGATAACCTCTTTGCCGATTTCATCACGGACTCATAATAATACACACTTCAAGACTGCAATCAGTAAAGCTTAGACTTTGCTATCTACACTGACAATCATTTTCTTATCCAATGTAGCTCTAAAGTATTATTTTTTATAAGCATCCCTGCAAAACCAGTACTGGGGTTAACACATGAGGGAAAACTTGTGACATTGGACTGTTTACTTGTTAACCACACCATATTAAATAAAATGAACTGGAAATAAATTTAAAAATAATAGCTGTGCTGATATAAAGGTGCAACCATTTGCTGACAATTGTTTCCCAGGTTCAACTAAGTCCTGTATCAATGTAAATTAAGGTAGCACTCCATTGACCAAAAAACAAACAAACAATATTTAGTAGATATACCCTCAACACATATATGCATTTATTAATGCACCTTTCATTGTTGCTATATCTAATAACAGCTTGCATAAGCTGAAGATGTATTGTCTACATTATTTTTAAAGTTTCTCTAATAAATTGACATGTTTATATACAATCCCCTGTGTTATGTTATAAACCGTCAATTCTAAAGTATAAGAACGACTTTAATGTCTGCTTTCTATTTTAAAACTGTTTTTTTTTTTTTTTATGTTGTAAGGCACCAGTCTCACAAACTGTCTTATTTTGATATTGATAATGCATATTTACTTAAACAATGTGCTAGAATGCTATTATCCTTTCTTTTTAAAAGAAACCTGCATTCATATTGAGGCAGCAGTGGGAATAATGTCAAGAAACTGACCGAATATATATATATATTTTTAAATCAATAATGTTCGCATGTCTTTCACTTGGTTCTCCAATGAGACCTAACTTTGTGGAGGGTCCTTCATCAAAAACTGTTAGAACTCCAAATAATGGCTTATTTTAGTGCTCAAAGTAGAACGCTTTGACACTTGAAAGATTGTGCCCATCAGCAAGACCACAAAACACTCAGCACATGCACAATTTATCACCTTAACATATTGAGGTATGCTAGGACATAAAGAGAATAGCTCCGATATTAAAGTGTCTTTGTATATCATATAGAATACACAGAATAATATCTTTCTAAAATCTAGTCAGAGCAGTTTTTTAAATAGGATTGTTATTGTAATTTGTACCTTTAAATATACGTCTTAGGTATTTACTAAACTGTGACTTGATGAAATAGACAAGTGAATTGCAAATATTGAGATAAAATAGACAAATAAGAAAACTATTCTATTTCAGTTAAGCTATAGTAGACTACAAATCACAGTTCCTTGGTGAATCACTGACAATTCATGGTTTAGTAACAGTGCATATTTGTTACACAGCTCTAAATATAACAACATTTGTACATAGAACAAAGCTTAACCTCTTCACTCCCAATAATAGTCATTTAGTATACACTTTTAAAATATTATGCATGTATCAAGTCCCAAACCCATGTATGCAAACAAAATGAATTATTGCATTCTTCTGTAGCTCGTTGAGTTTTTTTAAAATTATGCAAAATGGCATTAAAAAAACAATTTTACACAGTACTTTTAAGAAAAAGAAAAAAAAAAATCCACACATTCTTGTGGTAAGGTTTTTAATACAGAAGTAGTTCATGTGATTGCACATAGTTATTGTCAGTGGTTTCCCTTTGTATAAATAATTTAACTGTGAGAGCAATCACGGAAATTTATTTTATTTAGAGGAAATTTGAGGCAGGAAATATTATCAGAAATATATTTGGTTAAATACACAAATATAAGATTAATATTTTATTGAAGAAATATATTCCAAAATGTCCTCTTTTATGGTATTTAAAGGACCACTATAGGCACCCAGACCACTTCAGCTCAATGAAGTGGTCTGGGTGCCAGGTCCATGTGGGTTTAACCCTGCCTGTTGTAAACATAGCAGTTTCAGAGAATCTCATTGACAGCCGCTAGAAGAGCTTCTCACTGTGATTTTCACAGTGAGAAGATGCCAGCGTCCCTAGGAAAGCATTGAGAATGCTTTCCTATGGACTGACTGAATGCGCGCGAGGCTCTTGCCACACATGCGCATTCGGCAGAAGAGGTAGGAGAGTAACCAGCGCCGAGGGAGCCAGGCGCTCGAGAAAGGTAAGAATTTAACCCCTTCCTCTCCATTCAGCTCGGCAGGAGGGGGGCCATGAGGGTGGGGGGGGACCTATTAATACTAAAGTGCCAGGAAAACAAGTTTGTTTTCCTGGCACTATAGTGGTCCTTTAAGCCGGGAACCTCCTGCAGACATGTGCATTTGTTGCATTCGCCCATAAATGATTTGATTTGTTTGACAATGAAATTGTGAGCCCAAAACAAAAAAAAAACTCAAATATGTTCTTCATGGATGAAACATTTTTGTTTACTTTGTGATTTGGATTTAGAATGTCCTGCTATATATGCCAAACGAATCGCCGAATGCAACAAATGCACATGTCTGGCTGCCATCGGAAATCAGAATAGTGAAAAACAATATATTATGGAACACTGAATGGTGGAACATTGTAAGGTGTTCTCTGAATGATGAAGCATCCTATAGGATAAAATACACCAAAGGATAAAATACTCAGTGTGTTAAAACATTCTATATAGGACCTTGTAAGATAGAACACTCTGTATGATGGGATGCCCTGTACGGTGGGACACTGAATGGTAGAATAGCCTGCATAGAGTAACATTATATAGCATGAAATTAACTGTACGGTGGAACACTTAATGGTGGAGCGCTCTATACACTCTATACAGCTAGAACATTCTATATGGTGGAAAGCAGTTTACGATGGAACATTGTGGTGGTTAACACTTTATGGTGGAAAAGTCTTTAGGGTGACATATACAGTATGGTGGAACACTTAATGTATTGTGGAAGACTCTGTAAGGTAGAATGCACATTGCATGGCAGCTCACTGTAAACTCATACTATAGAGTGTATTATTCTATGGGGTGGAATGCAAATGGTTAAAGCAGGACTGGCCACATTGTATATCCCTAGATGTTCCCGAATTTCAACTGCCATGCTGCTTGCTTTGCCAATCTTTGGAATGCCAAAGCATCATAGAAGTTGCAGTTCTTCAACCTCTTGGGATCTACCTTTTGCCCAGCTCAAGTTTAAACACTGTGTATGGTAGAACATGTATGGTGAGCACTGTATTGTGGAAAACATAGTATTGTAAAATTATACGTGTCATACACTGAATGTTAGAAAATACTTGTGTCTGAGTTACAGTAAAATATATAGATCATGGGATGTGCATTTATTCCTTGTGGCATATTGACAGCACCACCTTTACAGTTTAATGACTTACAGACAATGTCACTTATCCATTTTCCTAACTTTTGACCAGCTTGGTAGCTTTCTGTGAAAATACATGCACATCATTTATCATCCTCTATTACTAGTATTGTTATAATTGGGGGAAATGGTAAATTGTATACAATGTTACTATCACCTACAATTTCAATTGTATCTATCTATCTATCTATCTATCTATCATATTTTGATTGATTTGCCTCTGTAAATCTCCTGATATTGACATATAAAACCATAATAATTTCCTTTCTTGGAATAATTAATATCGTTCTACTTCGTAATTCTCTGTATCAATGGTTTTCACTTTAAGGTCAATGAAGAAAGCAGCAGTACATTTGGAGTTTTTAAATATTAACAAAGTTCTTTGTTCACAGCTTCAGTGAATTTTTAAAAAACATATGTGAGAAGGATTCCCCCTATCCAAAGCCCACAGGTCTTCAGATCCCAAGATCTATACAGCTTCCCAAAGGAGAAAGTATATATGACATTATCTATTTAAAGAAGACATTCTCATCGTGGTGTCTATGGAAAGACCTAGTTGTACCAAACAACGTTGAAGATTTTGTTAAGGTATGCATACAGTGACAACCAAAGAGTGCTAGACAATATATTGTGAAATATAAAGTGTGGATAACATACTGTCAGGATAATTCACTAAAGTAAGAATTGTCAGAAAAATTTAATAAATTCATAGTGAATCTCAAATATAATGTAGCCAAACTGCAAAATTCCAGGAGTCAGCTAGACTTCCAATTTAGCTATTTTAGTATAAAATTTGAAATTCACTTTGAATTTACTTTGAGTTTCCGACAAGTCTCCATTTACTAAACAGCCCTGAGTGAGTTTATAGAGAATGAGCATACAACTTTGTGACTAAGTTATGGTGTCGTAATATTATAGAGTGTTTGTAATATAATATGACTGACTTAATGTAATTCAGCAAAACTTAATTATTTATACAATGTCTGAAGGAAATATCACTTATGGAAGTTTGGGATTTACTAACAAAACTGGGAATTGTAAAAATATCTATGTTGGAGAATGTTGTCAGATGTCAGATTGCTGTATTGGAACTGCTTGTTGTTGGACTTTTTTCAGTTTTTCAAGTAACTAAAAAAATCACTTAATTCTTTGATGATTAATGGATAGACCCCACCAGGGAAACTAAGTTGAATCTTTATTAGTATAATTTAGAGCTGTGTTGGCAACAAAACAAGTATTATTTACATGAAATAATGTAAAATATGTACAAAATAATCCAGAGTATATTAGCTACATAGTTACATAGTTAAATAGGCTGAAAAGAGACATGTGTCCATCAAGTTCAGCCTTACCTACATCTGTTATTTGCTGTTGATCCAAAAGAAGTCACCCCCCTCAGTTTCAAGAACTTCCAATTTTGCAAAAAACTAGGAAAAAAAATTAATTCTTGACCCCAGAATGGCAGTCAGATGTATCATTGGATCAAGAAGCTATCACCCTACAGTT